GGTCTGCTGATAGAAGGTTGAAGAGGAAGAAGGAATAACCATGTTGGAATTAAGTCGTAGATCCAGTAGAGGCCCTTTAGCACGCCATTCCTAAATAATAGTGGGTTTAGTTGCCTTCATCTTTTGTTGGGCCTGATTTTTGGGGTTTTGTAATAATTAAAAGTTTGTCCCACCATCGTCTCTTTAATGACTCCTGAGGTGCTTTCTTTACTGGGCCTGCGCTGGCTAATATTATTATTAGTCTGTGTATTGAGAAGGGATGGAAGTGGGCCCAAAAGATTTGAATTACAGTGATCCTTTGACAGTTGTCCCTCCACGTGCTTTGAACTGATAGAACACCCGTCGTTTTCCCCCAAACACATCGCTGAGGTTTTGGCCTCTGTTTTTGCACCGGCTGGCCGGAAAGGTTTTGGCGACGCTGCTACCTCCTTCATAATTGATATTTCGAAACTCGAACACTCCACATCGAGCTCTATCTTATCTGGACATTCATTGTTAACACAGATTCTTGCCCAGAGATAGTGATTCTGGTGCCTCGTATCTTCGTCAATGTCTATGAAGCCACCACATATGTCGCTAATGATTCTAAATGTCTCGAGTTTCCAAGCATTAATGGGAATTCCGAAAGCCTTAATCTATTTTTGACCGATCTCTGCGAGCCTAACTCGGTTCCCGCCACCGGCGACCACCACTCCAATGAAAGGCGTCGACCGTTCCAGAACCAATCTCCAGCATGGACTCTCGCTGCTTCTTTTCTTGATGGAAATTCAAAGAGGAATTAATTGTGGGAGATTGGAATTACTTTTAGACCCTCGCAAACCTTCCACCTATTCAGAAATTATTTTTGTATCACCTCAAGGTTGGGGCTGTAGTTGAAGGGATCGTTGAAAGTGTCGACTAAGCACCTTGAGAGAAAATAGTGATTCCTATAATCTGCGCGTGGGTTAGCTGCATTGACAATGTTAACCATCCTGTCAATTCTACCACATACATTTCTCATTATCTGTCAATTGTATTACTAGCGGCACTTTAAATGCATCCTGGAAATATCTAAACACAACAAAAACAAAATAAATTCACACAAAAAAGAAAAAAACTTCTTTCTAAAAAAAATTGCAAACACGTCCTCCCGTTTAATTTAAATACTTGGTGAACATGAAGGGGATAAGGTGACCCAAATGCAACGCTTCAGAAGAAGGTCCTCTGCATGAGTATAAATAGAACTTTTGCCTTTTTTTCATAAGCATCCAATATATCATTGAAATCACGATGTGCGAAGAAAACTCCGCGGCGGAGGAAAACGTGAGTCTGTCGATTCGTGAGGCGTTGAACACGCTGGATTAAGGAGTCGACGAGCCTCTAGAAACCAAATTTATCGATTAATTTGTCGTAGTCAATCTTGCCGCCGTCTTTTGTTGATACTTCCCATGGGTTCACTACTTACTCCTCGTCATCCACCACCTCTTTCGCCTCCTCCCTTTTCTCCATTGTTGTAATGTTGTTCGAGTGGGTTCGGAGATATAGAGAGAAAGTGGAAAACCCTTAGAATGGCTGAAGGTTAATAGTTAAGAAGGTTTTAAGTGTCACAAACTGAAACCTGTGGGGGGAAAGGGAGCGTCATTAAACTTTGTTATAATATAAACGGCAAAGGGTCAAATATACCCTTTCTAAAATGATCTAAGAATACCCCCCGTTATACTATTGGGTTATCTATACCCCTGCAATCATACTTTGGGTTCAAATATAACCCCTCATTTAAACGGAGGGACACGTGTCATAGTCTTGTTGCTCAATTCTAAATATCTCCTAATCTATATCCATATTATATTAAAATTACGAATGCCCTTAGCGAAATATCGTTCGCTTTTATACCCTTGAAAAACTAATTCCAGTTTGGACAACGTAGTAATTTAAGTTATTTTCCTAATATATAGGTATAGTTATTTAATTATTTCTCTAATATTTAGGACGTAGAAATTAACTAAATATGCATACTAAATCTTTCCTTATTTAAACTATTATATATGCGAAAATTCTAATATTTAAGGTTTAAATTAATTAAAAATATACCTGTATAAATTTTGTTCCTATTTGAACAAATAGCTAAATTTGGACGTTACCTTCAGGGATGTATATCACATTTTAAAGGGATGCTATTGATTTATGAAACAAAATATAGACCATATTTAGATGTAATTAGAAAACCTTAAAATTGTAAAACTAGAACTTTAGGACACAAATTGGTAGCAAATTTTTTGTTTCTAACAATATTGATTTCATCATATTTTTCTCTATTTCTATCTAGATATTTTATCAACCAACTTATAAAAATATTTTCTACATTTTTCTTTCGTACTTTGACACCGAAGAATTGATATTTTCTTACGAAACGATTACAAATTTACTTTAAGACCTACATTCTTTAAAGTTACAGAAATTTAAATTTCCAATGGACTACAACATACGTTGGACATTGAAGTAAATTAAAAATTTCTCAGAACTATTGGTGCTAAAAAGAGTAATATATATATATATATATANTTTAGTATAGCATTTACAAAAACAATATCATATATTTTCTGTACTTATAATGTAATATGCATTTATAAATCCATTGTCTTGGCATATACTCTTTTAAAATGATATACGTGAGATGATACGTGCCTTTTTTATCCTTTAAAAATAAATTTTATATATTTTCAAAAAAATAATTATAGACAAAATTATAATTTAAATTACTTATTAAATATTTAAGTCTTTAAAACTAACTAAAATTTTTCTTATTCAAGCGTTCCTTATTTGAATTAATATGTAAGAACTAATATTTATGATTTTAAAATCAATTTGTGATGACCCAAAATGTCATCTTTAAATTTAATGATTAATTATGTGATCTAAGCACTATTTACCATTACTCGACTTGCGTGTGCAGTCCGTATAAATTTTTCGGGAAATTTTCAGGTGAAGAATGAATTAAAATGTGAATTTGATGTTTAAAACACAACTGAGTTGACTTTGGTCAAGCGTTCCTAATTTGAATTAATATGTAAGAACTAATATTTATGATTTTAAAATCAATCAAAGTTCATCTTATATAAACCTTTTGCTAGAATTTCAGTACCATAATTGTATTCTTTCTAGGACAGCCAAAGAACTTTCTAAAAATTGGTATTTTTAAGTTTAATAAATTGTTACTTCCATGCTACTTTGTAATTTATTTAGGTTTAGACGTTTAGTTTGTTTTGTGTATATTTAGGGCATTGCACGTTATACATGGCAAAACAAAAATTACGCTTAAAATTGCAATAGCTACTAAATAATTTAATTTTATTAAAACAAATACCTTAACATACTCAAAATATATCAAGCAGACATATATTCTCAAAGGAATATATTAAGTTTAATTTTTTTCCTAATTGAAAATATTACTTCTTCTATGTTTGAATATTCCTTTTCATAGAATTACAACCCATTAATTCTTAATTATGGATTTAGAGACGACCATAGAATTAAAATAAATTAATTCTATATAATCGATTATCTTAGTAAAAATAAAAAATAAAAATAGAAAAATATTTTTTTTGTAGCAACTTGTTTGCCGTATTTTTTGTGGAGTTCAACTATTGTTTTCTCGATCAATCCATCTCATATTCTTATTACTTTAATAATTTATTTTTTATTAATTATAAGTTTAATAATATATATAAAGAAAAATAATTATTATTTTCCTTCATAATTACACTTAAATATTTTTAAATTGGGATGAGCTAATATAAGAATCTGAAAAAGGTAAAGAATTATTCTTTAGTGTGGAAAACAAATATAGTTACTTTTTTAATTAACTGATTAGCAAAAGAATTCAATTCAATTGAACTACATATTAAGACCTAATATTTAGGAGTTTAAAATTATTTAAGATTAAAAATGTTCATTATGATATTTCCATAAATGCGATAATAATTTATTTACATATGACTTTCTACATATATTCCAATACATGAGGTGTTTGATATCAAAGATAATAAGCATTAATAATAATGTTACATTCTTTGAAACTACATGATATTTGGTTGGTTGCAACTTGCGATAATACAAAATATATAGAAATATTCTCTCAAAAAGCTATATCATCTTTTCATCTATATATATATATATATATATATATTCTTGCTTTTACCTAACCCGCTTTTCTTTAATAATAATAAATTATATGATAAATAGTCGTGAGTGTGGATAAAATTTCTATCTTTCTTTTCAAACTTAATACAATAAATAGAGGGCATCATGTTGGAAGACGTTTAATTGTATAGGAGTTACACGAAATTGTAAAAGTTGGTGCAATAAAAATTGAAGTTGAAAAGATAGAAAGCAAAAAACATATCAAGTAGACCAAAAGAGAGGAAACAATAACAAAGTCTCAATTTAGGACAATAGAGATAATAAAGTCCAACAGGTATCATGTACTATTTATGGGGGACAACTTCGTCCAGCAAAAAAGATTGAGCAGGCATTTAGATTTGAGTAAGTGGTTTGGGGTTGAGGTGCCATCAAAGTATCTTCTATTCCTCTTGTTCCATAAACACCAAAGAATAGTTGCAGGGATCATAAGCCAGATCTTCTTGATGACCTTATCAACCTCCCAAACACTCCAGCTTATATGTGCCTCTATCAGGCTCTGTGGCATGACCCAACTTAAGCCAAAAATACAAAAGAACATGTTCCATAGGTCTGTGGCTACTGGTAGTGTAGAAGTAGGTGATTAATTATTTCCTGGTGTCTCATGCAAAGGTAACATCTGTTGACCAACTGAAATCCCCTTCTGCATAGGTTATCTTATGTTAAGCAAGCTTCGTGAAGGGCAATCCAGTTGAAGCATGTCCCTTTCACAGGTAATTTTGTCCTCCATATCAGTTTTCAAGGCCATGAATGCAATACCTGATTCTGATTGTTAAGTTGCATGTAACAATCTTTAACAGTATAAAGACCTTTACAATCCTATCTCATACTGTCTGGAACATTCTCATCAATGTTGTAGGCCTCAAATCAGCTAGCATTTCCATCAAGTCTTTTATCTCCGAGTCTTGAACAGCTCTCCTGAGATGCACATCCCAATTATCATTTGCCCAGTTATGAGCAATTGAAGAATTATTGTCCAAAGCAATGTTGAATAAGCTAGGATAGTCCTCCATGAGAGTAGTGTTGTTTAGCCATTTATACTTCCAGGGCCCTACTCCATGGGATGCATTGACAATTTTGGTGTTCCAATTGTCTTTAATCCCATGTTTTGCATTGATCACCTCTTTCCATAGACTTGGTTTACATGTGCCATGTCTCCATAGCCATTTCATTAGCAAACCTTTATTGTGCTTGTCTAGATATCCGACCCCCAGTCCACCTTTGCATTTAGGTTGCAAGACCTTATCCCATTTAATCAAGTGATACTTGTGAGAGCTGTTATTTCCTTCCCATAGAAAGTCCCTCCTGATCTTGTCCAGCCATTTAAGTACCTTTTAAGGAATGGGAAACAATGACATAAAATAAGTGGGTATATTGTCAAGCACACTACTGATGAGAGTGAGTCTTCCTCCCATAGAAAGGTATTGTTATTGCCATGAAGCCAGTCTTTTCTCAAAGTTCTCCACTACACCATTCCAGATATCACAGCTTTTGAATTTAGCTCCCAATGGAAGACCCAAATAGGTAGTAGGCAATGACCCTATGCTGCAACCGATGATCCCTGCCAACTCCTCAATGTTGCTCACCTGATTGACTGGATATATAATACTTTTCTGCTTGTTGATGTGAAGTCCTGATAATGCTTCGAATAGCTGGAGTGTAAGATTCAGGTACAAGATTTGGAATATATTTGCCTCACAGAAGATCAGTGTGTCATGAGCATATAATAAATGGGAGATAGCGACTGAGTTTTCAGTGTTTGTGCCTACACTGAATCCTTGAATCCATTGCATCTGTCTGTCTTT